TGGATCATTGCTTTGAAGGAAGATACCTGAATATAATATTTAGATATTATGTGTTAAAGTGGCACTTGCAAGAGCATTAAAAGATGATTTTGCAAAAATTCTACTTTTACGGACAGTGAACACGTAATATAAAAATTGCTTAACAATTGTTTCAAAAATTAAATTTTTGCTTTGGTAAGTTGCTTCACTGGCAAGAGCAGAACCTTAAATTTTGCTCCGGCCAGTGAAGCAACCGAAGGCCATTATGAAATATAAAAAGACATGGCAGCAGGGTCATGACAGAAAATAAAAATAATAAGTGGAGAAAACTGGTATTGACATGTATTCTTACTGGTTTATGGCCTCTGTTGAATCCTCTGGTTTTGGTGTTGTTGTCGGCAAGAAGGAGAAGGAGAAAGAGAGTTTTGGTGCTGTTGCCGCAAGAAGGAGAAGGATATAATAAAAAAATTAAGGTTAATTTTATAATTATATTTAACCTAATTTAAATAGTCACTCAAATCCCTCTCAAATCCTCCAAATCGGGCGGATTGCAAATCTGCAGTTTTGAAGGTGGTTGAAGGGAGTCCGAATCAGTCCATCTCCCTCCCCCTCTGCCTCTTTGGAAACCCAAACAAGAGGAAGGAGACAGCTCCCCCTCACTCCCCCTCCCTTGCCATCCATCCCCATCCCTTCCCCTCCCTCTCCGTGTGACACCTCCAATGCAAACAATACCTAAGAGTATTATTATTGTTTTCGGCCTCTGCTTAGAGTATAACATTAAAAGCTAGTATCTTTGATGAGGTCAATTTGGTCTGTTGCAGGTAAATACCAGGACTTGGGATACAGTTGTAGATGGTATTCAGTTGGGATTCTTGGGTTGTTTGAGTACCGCTTCTACTTTCATTGCTGACTTCAATGCAATGCGAGGAAGTCATCAACCTTGGAGAGCATACGCTTATGCCCTATCTACAATAACTCTCTCATTTGTTTTTGGGGTTCTTTTCTACGATTTACCCACTTGGGTAAAAGACTACAAGTAAAACTTGATGCGCTTCAATGCCGGTCACTTTCTCTGGAATATGCTTCTAAGCAATAATGCCTAGAATGATGCAGAGACTTCAACTTATCATGGAGAAAACGCAGCAAAAATTTATAAGTCATTGGAGTCAATTTCTAGTTGTAAGACACAGATTTCTATTTAGTTTCTGAATCTTCTTCTTGGAATCAAAATATAGGTCTTTATAAGGAGTGGTTAGTACTAAACTATTAGGTCTCAGTTAGTAAGATCGAAGTACATACAGGTCCTAGTCTAGATGGTATGTATTTTTGTTTCTTTGTAAACAGTTAATAAAACCTTTCTCTCCTCTTTTTTTTTTTTTTTTTCATCATTCGACAGAAGTTATTGAGAAAAGGAAAATATATGCGCAAGTTCATCCGTTTTGGACGTAAAAGGAGAGGTTCTTTTGAAGAAATCTTGATAATGATCTTTATTTCAGAAGCAATATTGAGAGAGATGGAGACATCAAAATAGCAAGCAAGCAGCCCGTGGATAGGATGGTACAGTTTTCCTATATTCTTCTCTTTGCAGCGTAGCTTTGTATTGAATTTAGAATCCAGAATCCAGAATCCAGTGGCGGGTATATCTAATACCTGTAAGTACCTGATTTGTTTGAATAGGTATTTTACTTGTATATA